ATTTAAAATAAACACAGGAATCTCTCTATATATATATATATATTTTTTTTTTTTTTGTCTGAAGCTGCAATGTGACTCAACATAGCCTTGTGGGAGATGGTATTTGCAACATGTACACAACAAAGGGCTCATATCAACATTTAAAGAATGCTTACAAGTCAATAAAAATGTCAGACAACCCCGTAGAGAAACAGGTTCAAAATCCGAACAGATATTTCTCAAAACAGGATAGTCAAAAGGCCAATAAATATGTGAAAAGGTGCTAAACTTCATTACTCTTCAAGGAATAGAAATTAAAATAAAGAAGCATTCCACTATACACCCATCAAAATGGCTAAATGTAAAAGACAGACAATACCAACTCTTGATGAGGATGTAAGAAAAAACAAATCTCAGACATTGCTGATGGGAGTGTAAAATGATACAATCATTTTGGAAAACTGACAATATCTGTAAAAGCGGAACACACATGTCCTATGATTCAGCAATTCTACTTCTAGATAGAAATGCACTCAAAAGCATTCACAAATGTTCCTAGTGCTTCTGTTCAGTAATAGCCCCCAACGGCAAACACTCCATGTGTCCATCAATAAGACAATGAATAAATAAATTGTGGCATTTATCCATGTAAATTGTAGATAAATTGTGGATAAACAAATGGATAAATAAATTGTGGTATTAATTCATGTAATACCACACAATAATGAGAACAAATAAAATATTACCATAGACAACATAAATGAATCTCACAAACCTAATATTAAGCAAAAGAAGTCAGGCATAAAAACCCCTACACACACATATAAAGCCCCCAAACAGACAAAACTTAATTTATGGTGTTAGAAGTCAGGGACTTGAAGAGGGAATGAGGAGCCTTCTGGGTGCTGGTAATGCTCTGTTTCTAGATCTAGATTCTGGTTTTCTGAGTGTGTTCACATAGTTAAAATTCATCGATATGAACACTTTTCTGTAAGTGTATTTTATATCAATAAAAACTTACAAGAAAATAAGGGGCTAGGCATGGTGGTTCAGACCTATAATCCCAGCACTTTGGGAGGTTGGGGTGGGAGGTTCACTTGAAGTTAGAGACTAGCCTGGGCAACACAGCAAGACCCTATCTCTACAAAAAATCTAAAAATCAGCTGGGTATGGTGGTGTGTGCCTGTAATCCTAGCGACCTGGGAACCTGAGGGGGAGGATTACTTGAGCCCAGGAGTTCAAGGCTGCAGTGAACAATGATCATACCACTGCACTCCAGCCTGGGTGACAGAGGGAGATCCTGTCTCTGAAAAATAAATAAATACATACATACATCCATAAATACATAAAAAAGAAAATAAAAGTGTATCCAGGTCATTTAGGAGCCCAGGAAAATGGAAGATGAAGATTTAAAACATTAAGCAATGGCCAGGATTGGTGGCTCCCGCCTGTAATCCTAGCAGTTTGGAAGCCCAACGTGGGCAGATCACCTGAGGTCAGGAGTTCAAGGCCAGCCTGGCCAACATGGTGAAACCCCGTCTCTACTAAAAATACAAAAATTAGCTGGGTGTGGTGGCACGTGGCTGTAGTCCCAGCTACTTGGGAGACTGAGGCATGAGAATTGCTTGAATTTATTTAATATTGAGGCAATACAGAAGCAGATCTTGGAGGCGGAGGTTGCAGTGAGTTGAGATCACGCCACTGCACTCCAGCCTGGGCAGCAGAGTGAGACTCCGTCACAAAAAAAAAAAAAAATCAATCAAGTAAAAAAGTTAGCTACCACAACATCAAGGGTCTGAACCCATTCTCTCTTCCCCGGCTATGGCAAATACTTTTAACCTGTCATGGTATCTACAAGAATTCTTGCTACTAGAGGAGGCGAGTCTTTGTTTTCCCATTTGATTCATAGGAAGATGGAACCCCTGAGGCGGTCAATACATAGATTAAAGTCTCACAGGTAGTTATAGGCAGATGCAAGACCTGAATCTGGTCTCCTAATTCCTGATCATGAGCTTGGTGCACTACAGCCAGTGGTCAGGCTGCATGATCTTGCCGAGTCTGGGTTCCAAGCAGTGAATGCCTTCACTAGGAGCCAGCAAAGTTTTCTCTGTGTCCCTAATTTGTAATAATGCTGAGGATGAGAAATTTGTCCCTAACTTAGAGTAACGCCAAGGACTAGGAGTCTGCTTTAAGTCAGTTCTACCACGAAATAAGCAGATACCCACTCAAAGGTCACTGCGTACGCTTCCCTGGACGCACAGGGGGTGCAGCTACAGGACGTAAGCAGGCAATTTTACATAAATACTTCTCCTCTTTCTAAAAGCCTAATTACTAACTGTGTTGAACAAGTTCTGAAGGCAGCTGAGATGAGGATAACCCGAGGGAAGAGTGAAAATGCATAACACCTGGGATCCCCTCTAGTATGGCTACTCCTTTTTTTCTATTTTTGAGACGGAGTCTTGCTCTGTTGCTCAGGCTAGAGTGCAGTGGCGCAATCTCGGCTCACTGTAACTCCCGCTTCCCGGGTTTAAGAAATTCTCTTGCCTCAGCCTCCAGAGTAGGCACCCGCCATCACACCTGGCTAATTTTTGTATTTTTAGTAGAGACAGGGTTTCACCATGTTGGCCAGGCGGGTGTCAAACTCTTGACCTCGTGATTCACCTGCCTCTCAGCCTCCCAAAGTGTTGGGATTACAGGCTTGAGCCACTGCACCCGACCTGCTATGTCTATTTCTAAACAAGCCAAGAGAATCACAATTCTCATCCTTCCATCTTTTAAACAAGATTCAAATTGTGGTTTTGAATTTTTTTTTTTAAAGAATGTTTTAGTTCAGTATTTTTGCTTCAAGCTCATTCTTCTGAAAAATACCTGAATATCAAATCCGTAAGCACGAGTTTGGGGAACAGATGGAGACGGAACTGGTGGCTCTCTAGAGGCCATTTACAGCTGGATCCTACCTTTGTAGTGACCATCAGAGGGGCGTATGCCCCCCATAACACTCCCATTCTTCATCTTTTTCCTCAAGACAGCTGCCCTGTGAGCAAAATGCAGACCTCTCAGGGCTCCAGGGAGCATCTCACCCCTCAGAACTGTCTACACAGGTGTGGGAACTAATTACAGACCCTAGCTTTATAGTTCTTTCCAATTTCCTCCCAAAATCTGAATAAATCTCCCCAACAAAACTAAAGTCAGTTTTCTCTCAACTCACAGTCTTTTTGTATACATTTCCCCTAGGAATCGTACTCTTTTTTATTTCAAAAGATGACATACTGCCCGCACCTCCTCCCAGCCATCTCAACTTTTTAGTTCCTATTTTCTATAAGAAATCTCCCTTTTTGTCCAGGCGCGGTGGCTCAAGCCTGTAATCCCAGCACTTTGGGAGGCCGAGACGGGCGGATCACAAGGTCAGGAGATCGAGACCATCCTGGCTAACACAGTGAAACCCCGTCTCTACTAAAAAATACAAAAAACTAGCCGGGCGAGGTGGCGGGCGCCTGTAGTCCCAGCTACTCGGGAGGCTGAGGCAGGAGAATGGCGTGAACCCGGGAGGCGGAGCTTGCAGTGAGCTGAGATCCGGCCACCGTACTCTGGGCGAGAGCGAGACTCCGTCTCAAAACAAAAAGAAAAGAGAAAAAAGAAAAAAAAAAAATCTCCCGTTTCAGTGAGAGTTCTGGCTCTGGTTCCTTATCTCTTTTGCCCAACACTTGGCTCCTTTTATTTCTCCGTGCTGGACTGTAATGGCATCTTTGCTGGAATGCTCATAGGCGGAAGTGCTTAGAAGAGAAACACTCGTAGTGGAACCAAGATATGGCAAGTTTTATGTTATTTTAACTTTGAAGTTTCCTGCAGGCTGTCTCAAAGAAGCAGAAACAGGCCCTTTCCCAGATTGCCTTCCAACGCAGAGCCAGTTACAATATACGGGGGTTACTGCGCTGGACCTTAAAATAGACTGTTAAAAGTAATTGTTCCTCACTCGAGCTAGTCCAGCAAAAAAAAAAAAAAAAAAGTAATTGTCTCAATTTTGGCTATACATGTCCTTATGTGCTTGAATTTGCAAGAGCTCCAAAGCAACAGAATCTGGTATTTGGTTTCCTGAAGGCATAACATTCTGTTTTTTCAAAGCCTCAACCTGACAGAGGCTGAAACCAAATCCTTCAACCTGCAATTTAGTCACTTTCATGTAAATGTCAGTCAGTTTTCTGACATCTGTCTAACAGTATGTTGGAGTGACCAGATCAAGGCTGTAATGAGCCCACCATTCCTGGTAATTATCTTTGCATGGGGCTGTCCTGCTGAAGGTTGGGCCCAAAGTGAAGCCATCAGTGTAAGTGCCTTGATCCTTAATGAGATCCCTGTGGCTTGAGAAGAGGAGATGCAGATGAACTCCTTACCTTCATCTGGATCAGATTCTTCTTTATTTTCACAGAGCCACTTGACCAAAGGAAAGGCTTGACCAAAGGGAGACTCCCAACCAAACGCTTCCAGGGCCTGGTTCCATTTATGCCCCGGGTTTGCTCTTTCGATTGCCGGTGTTGTCAGCTCAGTACAACATGGCTCCTCCTTCCATGAGGAGCAGCTCAGTAGGGTTCTGCATTCTGGTACAGTGAATGGTACAGACCTGCAGCCTTTTTTTTTTTTTTTTTTTTTTTTGGTACCTTCTCAGCTGCCTGTCTACAAGGCATGGGCAGTGGCCAGCCACCACTACAATAATTTAGGCACTTAAACACTTTTGAAAATTCTGCACCCAAGCAAGAAACTGTGATTCTGGAACTCCAATTAGCAGAACGTACCAGGCAAAAATCATCCAGGCACATCGGCTTTCAGAAAGTTTTACTATGGAAGAAGCAAATAAACAAACAAAAGAAGATGATGATGAGGAAGGAGGGGGCTGGAGAAAGAGGAAAAAGTGGAGAAGGAGAAGTTGAGCCCACCGATATATTACTATAGCATAGATATTGTACTGTACCAAAGCACCCACTCAGAAAGCGAAAGAAATTTCTTCTTCCCTCACTGGAGCTCACCTCTCTCTATACAGGGCCTTGTTCCAGGAAATCGTCAGTGGCTGCTCTCTGTGGTCAATAATAGATAATTCCAGATGAAAAGAAGTGTTCTGAAGTCAAGATGTAGTTTTTAGATCAATGGTTTTACACAATAGTTGAATCCAGGGATCTCCGGTGGGTCTGCGAAAATTCTTCCAGCTGCTCAGTGGGCTGAGTCTAAATGCAGGGCTCACAGTGTGTTGGGTGGTTTTTTCTTCTTTCTTTTTTTTTCCCCTTTGAAACATATTTTCCACTGCAGATTTGAGACAAAATTTAAATGCACCAAAGCAAATATTTTTGAAAGGAGCTACAAATAATCACAAGAGATTCAGCGAAAACACTTCAAAGGTGTTTTTTGTCTGCTTGCTTCTGTATTTAATCTGGTAAATAGGTGAGACTCTTGTTCTGCTTAAGTAGCCTAAAGACTAAAAATTTCGAGACTCACCAGATTAAAAGATGAAAAGATGAACCTTGCAAAGCGCATCTTTTTCAGGAGAGGAAAGTAAGATTTTTTTTTCTTCTCTGAATTTCCCATTTCCCAGTGTCATTTATTCCTAGTTCTCTCTCTCAGCACTGCTTTCTAGTTCAGTGCCCACAGCTTGGAGTCGGGAGCAGCCGCTATCAAAAATAATCCCTCTCGGTCGGGCGCGGTGGCTCAAGCCTGTAATCCCAGCACTTTGGGAGGCCGAGGCGGGCGGATCACAAGGTCAGGAGATCGAGACCATCCTGGCTAACACGGTGAAACCCCGTCTCTACTAAAAATACAAAAAACTAGCCGGGCGAGGTGGCGGGCGCCTGTAGTCCCAGCTACTAGGGAGGCTGAGGCAGGAGAATGGCGTAAACCCGGGAGGCGGAGCTTGCAGTGAGCTGAGATCCGGCCACTGCACTCCAGCCTGGGGGACAGAGCAAGACTCCGTCTCAAAAAAAAAAAAAAAAAAAAAATCCCTCTCTGCTGCCACAGGTGTATTTATTTAGGGTTTTCTTCCAGGGAGCAGGAGTTCAGGTGTAGGTAAAGGGGACATTAAATGTGGCTGCAGCTTGGGGAGATCTGTTTTTCTTTTTTCCTCATTCTAGTCCCATGGGAAGAGGTAACCTCAGGAAAGTCTGGGCTGCTGCAGAAGAGTTTTATTTTATTTTATTTATTTATTTATTTATTTTTTTCTGGAGACGGAGTCTCGCTCTGTCGCCCAGGCTGGAGTGCAGTGGCCGGATCTCGGCTCACTGCAAGCTCCGTCTCCCGGGTTCACGCCATTCTCCTGCCTCAGCCTTCCCGAGTAGCTGGGACTACAGGCGCCCGCCACCTCGCCCGGCTAGTTTTTTGTATTTTTTAGTAGAGACGGGGTTTCACTGTGTTAGCCAGGATGGTCTCGATCTCCTGACCTCGTGATCCGCCCGTCTCGGCCTCCCAAAGTGCTGGGATTACATCTTGAGTATATGGACTTTTAAAAATAAATGTATTAGAACATTTTTTGGAGATTTGTAACAATTTGAAAAAACTCACAGATGAACCTCATAACCTAGAAATGTTCAAAAACTTAAGAAAAAGGCATGTCATAAATGCATAAAATACATGTAGATACTAGTCTATTTTTATCATTTACTACCATAAAATATACATAAGTCTATTATAAAAAGTTAAAATTGGGGCCTGGCACGGTGGCTCATGCCTGTAATCCCAGCACTTTGGGAGGCCAAGGCGGGTGGATCACGAGGTCAGGAGATTGAGACTATCCTGGCTAACATGGTGAAACCCCGTCTCTACTAAAAATACAAAAAGTTAGCCGGGGGAGGTGGCGGGCGCCTGTAGTCCCAGCTGCTCGGCAGGCTGAGGCAGGAGAATGGCGTGAACTTGGGGGTAGAGCCTGCAGTGAGCCGAGATCGAGCCACTGCACTCCAGCCTGGACCAACAGAGTGAGACTCCTTCTCAAAAAAAAAAGTTAAAATTGTCTGGGCATGGTGGTTCATGCCTGTAATTCTGGTACTTTGGGAGGCCAAAGTGGGCGGATCATGAGGTCAGGAGTTTGAGACCAGCCTGGCCAATATGATGAAACCCCATCTCTACTAAAAATACAAAAATTAGCTGGCATGGTGGTGCGCTCCTGTAATCCCAGCTACTCAGGAGGCTGAGGCAGGAGAATAGCTTGAACCCGGGAGGCAGAGGTTGCAGTGAGTCGAGATCATGCCACTGCACTGCAGCCTGGGTGACAAAGCGAGACTCTGTCTTGAAAAAAAAAAAACAGTTAAAATTTATCAACACTTATATACAAATACTGTACATGGCACCATTAGCGGTGGAGAGAAATGTAAGCAAATGTAAAGATGCCATATTAAATCATAACCGCATACAATTAACTGTTACACATACTATACAACTGTAATAATTTCAAAGCCACCTCCTGTTGCTATTGCTGTGAGCACAAGTGTTGCAAGCATCTGCTTAAAATGTCAGGTGACACTGATCACCTCCAGGTAAGCAGTTAGTTTCTCTAGTAAATTATTGCATATGTCAGTAGAAAGTGCTCTCTCAAAGTTCTCGTGTGTTTTTTTGTAGTGTTTAATACAGTATCGTAAACTTTGAATAACACTACAGGACCCATACAAGGTGCCACTCGTGATGCTAGAAGTGCTCATAAGAAGCAGAGAAAAGTCATGACACTACAAGAAAAAGCTGAATAGCTTGATATATACCATAGATTGAGGTCTGCAGCTGCGACTGCCTACCATTTCAGAGAGATGATTCATCTTGTAAACAGATGACATAAATTTATGGCATCAATAAATACAGTACAGTACTGTAAATGTGTTTTCTCTTCCTTATGATTGTCTTAGTAACATTTTCTTTTCTCTAGCTTACTTGACTGGGAATACAGTGCATAACACATATATAGAATATGTGTTGATGATTTATGTTATCTGAAAGGCTTCTTTCTGGTCAATAGTAGGCTATATTAGTAGTTAAGTTTTGGAGAAGTTGAAAGGTATACTCAAATTTTCAACTGGTTAGGTGCCCCTAACCTCCATGTCGTTCAACGGTCAACTGTATCTTGTCTGTTTACTTGTTTTGGTCTAGTTCTCCAACCATAATATAAATGTCATGAAAGTATCTCATCTGTCTTGTTTACTGTTGTACCCTACATGTTTAAAATAGTGTCTGCAGACAGCAGGTGTTGGATAAATATGGGCCACAGTAAAGAATGTGGATTTAGTTAAATCAGGTCAACCTAGATTTTGTCATGAAATTCTTGGATCCTCATGTGACCCCTAATGAATGGAAGTATGTAAGCAAATTCTCTCCATCTATGACAAAAATCAAAGGACCTTTGGCTTCATGTCCAGGGGTGTCAATGTACCTCACATGTGCAGCCTCAATACACTCTAGCTGAGTGTCTGGGAGCAGTGCTGGCCCAGGATGCTAGGTCACCAGCCCTTGCCTAGGGCCAGGCTGAGATGCTTGCCTCCCACTGGGGGTCTCACAGAGTCAGGCCCAGGCAACTCTGCATCCTATAAACCACAAGGGCTCTAGCAGTCCATAGACAGACCAGGGTGACAGGAGTGAGGCATGTGTCGTGGGTGCGAAACTTCAGGAGGTGCTAAAAATTCCAATAATCAGAATAAGTAATATTTTAATGAAATACTTAAAAAAAGTATGCAAAAAATAGAAATAAAATTTATCATTTATAAATGATCAAGGGATCTGTCTTCTATTATTCCATTACCCAGCTCATTATACAAGGGTTAGATAGGATCCGGGGGTAACTCTCTCATGGGTTCTTCACACTTCTCCTGAGATCTAGGAATGGAAGGCCTAAACTAGACAAGCCCCAGGAAACTGGAACCAGGCAGCACCACCCCCACTCTCCCTAGTTATTTTGGAATTCTATGCAGAAGGTGGTGGCTCCTTCCTCAAAAAACTAAAAATAGAACTACCATATGATCCAGCAACCCCACTGCTGGATATATAACCAAAAGAAAGTAAATCAGTATTTAGAAGAGAGATCCACACTCCCATGTTTATTGCATCCCACAATAACCAAGATATGGAATCAGCCTAAGTGTCCAACAGTGGATGAACGGATAAAGAAAATGTGGCGCTCTACACAGGGAATATTATTCAGCCACAAAAATAATGAAATTCTGTCATTTGCAACAACATGGATAGAACTGGAGGATACTGTGTTAAGTGAAATAAACCAACATAGAAGATACATATCGCATGTTCTCACTCATATGTTAGGAGCTAAAAAAACAACAACACTGAAGTCTGGGTGTGGTGGCTCATGCTTATAATCCTAGTGCTTTGAGAAGCTGAGGCAGGAGGATCACTTGAACCCAGAAATTTGAGGCTGCAGTGAGCCATGACTGCGTCACTGCACTCCAGCCGGGGCAACACAGCAAGACCATGTCTCAAAAAAAAAATTTAAAAATAAGATAAAGGCCAGGCGTGGTGGCTCATGCCTGTAATCCCAGCACTTTGGGAGGCCAAGGTGGGCGGATCACCTGAGGTCAGGAGTTCAAGACCAGCCTGACCAACATGGAGAAACCCCATCTCTACTAAAAATACAAAATTGGCCGGGGTGGTGGCTCATGCCTGTAATCCCAGCTACTTGGGAGGCTGAGGCAGCAGAATCACTTGAACCCAGGAGGCGGAGGTTGTGGTGAGCTGCGATAACGCCATTGCACTCCAGCCTGGGCAACAAGAGCGAAACTCCGTCTCAAAAAATAAAAATAATAATAATAATAATAAAAAGATAAAAATTGAACTCATGAAGATGGAGAGTACAGCGATGATTACCAGAGGCTGAGAAGGGTAGTGGGGAGGCAGGGATAAAGAGAGGGGTTGGTTAATGGGTACAAAAGTACAGTTAGATACAAGGAATCAGATCTAGTGTTGGGTAGCACAAAAGGGCAACTATAGTTAACAATAATTTATTACATATTTCAAAATAAAAAAGTAGAATTGGAGTATTCCTAGCACAATGATAAATGCTTGAGGAGATGGATATCCCAATTACCCTTAATTGATCATTATATATTTTATGCATGTATGAAAATATCACATGTACCCTATAAAATGTACAACTATTATGTATCCATAAATTTTTTTTAATGTTTTAAAGCATGGGGGAATCCTAAGTTTGCTGCTTACTTTCAACCTGATGCATCACCAATCTGAGGCAGGCCCCAAACTTTGGCAACAAGGTGTGAGGTAAGCATCACTTTAGTGCAGGGAGGGTAACCTGCTTGAGGAATTGACTGATTTTCTGTAGTGTCTGCCATTTCTGTTCTTCACAAAAGAATAGGCCATTCCTATCTTCCTCCACACTCCCAATCCCAAAGGGTAACCAGGGCTTTTCGTTTTAGAGATCAGGCTTTCTCTGATCTCAGGAAAACAAAAAACAAAAAACAAAAAAAAAAGGAAAGGAAAAAGAGAAAGAAACAAAGAAAAGAAATTGAGCTGGGCGTGGTGGCTCA